GTGGGTTCAGAGGCGCTGGTTCGGGTCCCTCACTTCCAAACGCTTCCTTTCCTGGACATGGCCGTCCTGTGGCCCCGAAACCAAGTCCTTGCCCCTTGACCGGAGCCTGCCCCCCGCAGAGCGCCATCACCTGCCCCTCCCCTTCTCACCTACCCTTCCCGCCCACCTCTGGGCCTGGCCAACTTCTCTTCTTTTAATCTTTACTGTTGAAGGTATTACATGTGTCCCCTTCCCCGCCTCGTCCTCTCCAGCCTGCCCCGCCCCCCGCCCAGACCTTCCCCACCCCGTTGTGTGTCTGCGGGTGATGCACCCGTGCAGACAAGTTCACTGGTGGAGCTCCCCGCCCCCCGCCCCACCCCTGCCTTCCCTCTGAGGTCTGACAGCCTGTCCATGCTTCGGTGTCTCCGGATCTGTTTTTGTTCGTCAGTTTATGTTGTTCCTTCGTCCCCCCCTCTGAGCGACCCTGCGATGCTTGTTGCTGTGCTCCGCGTGCTGCTCTCGGCCCCTCCGTGCCGTCGGGAACGGTGTTCTATCTCTTTTACGGCGAGGACTTGGCCGCCTCTGCGTCCTTCGGGCCTCCTGGGAGCTTCCTCTTTCTTCCCCGCCTCCCCCGATGGAGTGATGGAGCGGGTGCACTTCCTGTCCCCAGTGGCTCCCTCCACACCCAGGGACACTCCGCCACTCGGCCCTCGGTCTGAGTTCCCACCCCATGGACATAGCTGCCCCGACAGCGAGGAGGGTGGCTGATCCCCAGCGCCCCGAGTTCAGGCACGGCCAGGCTCAGGGAGCATCGGCACAAAGAACGAATCGGTAACCGAACGACCACACAATAAACAAGAGAGGGAAACTCAAGGACCTGAGCCACAGTCAAGGAGAGAAGCCAGGTCTATGTGAATGAACACGCCAAACCGCTGAATGCCTAGTGACCGACTCACACCGAGCCAGGTGAACAGGCCCCCGCTGCCCTCTCTCATTTCAATTAATTAAGAGCCGTTCTTCAGTACAGAGCAAGGCGCCATCCTGGGAGCCAACTTCATTTCCACCCAAAGGAGCTTAATTTCCTCGAGATCTGGTTCTGCATTATTTGCTCCATAAACAAGAGTAGTCAATAACTATGTTAATATTTAAAAGCAAGAAATATATTTCGTTATCTATTTGTGTATTGTTTAAAGTATATTTTTATTGATTTCAGAGAGGGAGAGAGAGACAGTAACATCAACGATGAGAGAGAATCATTGATGGGCTGCCTCCTGTACGCCCCCTACTGGGGATCATGCCTGCAACCCAGGCATGTGCCCCGACCTGGAATGGAGCCATGACCTTCTGGTTCATAGGTCAGCGTTCAACCGCTGAGCCACGCCAATCAGGCTATAGCTGTACTCTTTTGAGCATGCCATGACTCTAGTTGATATTTTTATCAAGAAAAATTAGTGTGGCCCTAACTAGTTTGGCTCAGTGGATAGAGCGTCGGCCTGCGGACTGAAAGGGCCCAGGCTCCATTCCGGTCAAGGGCATGTACCTGGGTTGCGGGCACATCCCCAGTGGGAGATGTGCAGGAGGCAGCTGATCGATGTTTCTCTCTCATCGATGTTTCCAACTCTCTATCCCTCTTCCTTCCTCTCTGTAAAAAATCAATAAAATATACTTTTTTTAAAAAAAGAAAAGTTAGTGTGATTTGATAGAAGAAACAGGCAATTTGATAACAGAAATGGAGACAGAGAATGTGTTTCACCGAGAGCCCAGCGAGTAACTGGCTGAGCTGCGTTCACTCCCCACTCGGTCACCCCTTTCCTTTTCCCGTGGGGGGATTTAGGAGCCGCTCAGTGTGTGCGGCCAAGCCTAGATTTGGGAATGAGCCTGTAAGTATGAAAAGCGTCAGGTTTATTTAGGAATAAAATACTTACTTTTTAAATCTCTTCACGAAGGTGGTTTGCAGTCATCGGTGTAATTGTTTTCAGGCCACAAAAACAATCCTTATGCACCCACGGTTCCAGGGTAAAGCTCTCGCCGAACTGATCTAAGCGAGACATGAGCACACGAGACCAAAGCTCTCAATGGGCGGTGGTGACTCTTCATCCCAGTCCTGTCGGGCGGCCCTTGCAGATCAAACAGACCGAGCGCTCATCCCCCATCGACTCAACTCATTGGGCGAGTTACTCATTGTTTGGAGCCTGTTTCTTCGTCTTTAAGAGGAGGAGAATGGGTTGTGACCTCTCTAAAGTGCTGAGGCCGGCGCGAGGTATCTGGAAAGCACTTAATAAATACCGCTTCCTTCTCACCCCCTGTCAAGTGTGAATTTATGTTATTCCCAGTGACGTGTTGATGTTTTAATAACAGGCAGGCCAGTTCCATTCTGTCCCATCCTGGGAACTCTATAAACCAGTGGCTGAGTGTCCGAGTGTCCCTGCCTGTGTGTCGTGGGGCCTCCTGTTGGATGGACGTGGTCGTGAGAAATGAATGGCAGGGAGGACGCACTGCAGGATCTTAGGATGGTTGCAATCCGCACCCTGTGCCTCGCCCTCAGGTCATGGAAAGGCGGGCGAAACTCATTAGCTGAGAAGAAGAAGCTTTAGAAACGGGACTCTACCATAATGTGTCGCTTTCTCCTTTGCGTTCCCTACTTTCGAGGAGCACCTGAGTGTTCTGATGACCTCAGATCTTTATTGAAACAGACATTCCCACACCTTCCTTTCCCGTGTGCCGGCTGTATGTGAAGAGGGTGGAGCTGTCGGCTTACCCTCCCAGCGGTCCCCTTTCGGCATAGGATGCGAACATGGGGGATTTGAAAATCATCTTCAAAGCAGTTAAATGATATTCAGAATTAAAGATCTGAGCTTCATACAAGCTTTTCATTAAAAAAAAAAATGGAGCCATTTGCCTGCCCACACACCCCTTTTGTAGCAGTGATTTCTGGAGTGGAATCTGCATGTTGGTCATTGGCCAGGCCCTCACTGGCTCACAGTGTGGATGTGACCACCTTCTATTCCCTAAATATACAGGAGTCATCAGGTTCCGCCTCCCTTACAGGGTTAAAGGTAATGAATGCAAAACGCTGTAACTGTAGCACACTGTTCGCACGTTTACTCCGTACGTGGGAAAAACAGGGTATGGGTTCCTGTCTTTAAAAATTACCCAGAGCCTCTGATGTTCGAGAACTAGGTCATATTTTTGGGGTGGTCTAATGTATTTTTGGGTCATTTTTTGGGTGGTCAACTATGTATTGTTTATAGGATGCTTGGCTGTGACAAACGATTTTTGCTGAGACCTAAGAAATTAGACTCCATGTTGCTAATGGGAAACATTCTCTTAGCAGAGTGATATGTTCCGTTATTCTTTTTTATAATTAAATGGAGATGTTAGCAGGGAGGCAGTGCTTTATTTTGGGAAAGTGTGAGATTCACGGGTGGGGGCAGCTCAGAAGACAGATTTTATTTAGAAGACCGTTTGGAACACGAGCACTTTCTTAAAAAAATGTTTTTATTTTTGACTGGAGGCCCGGTGCACAGATTTGTGCACTGGTGGGTCCCTCGGCCTGGCCTGTGAGGATCAGGCTGAAACCGGCACTCTGACATCCCCCAAGGGGTCCCGGATTGCGAGAGGGCTGTTCTCGGGTGATGCACCCCAGAGTCGGGCTCCCTCCTCTCTGGTTCCAGGTGCGGCACCCGAGAACCGCAGCTGCCAAGTGACCGCAGCTCAGCAGCTCCTGTATTGAACATCTGCCCCCTGGTGGTCAGTGCGCGTCATAGCTACTGGTCAGACTGTAGCTTAGGCTTTTATAGAGAGAGATTTCAGAGAGGAAGGGAGAGCGAAAGAGAAGTAGAAACATCAATGATGAGAGAGAAGCATGGATCGGCTGCCTCCTGCACACCCCCTAGTGGGGATCGAGCCCACAACCTGGGCATGTGCCCTGACCGGGAGTCAAACCCTGACTTCCTGGTTTGGTTCATAGGTTGATGCTCAACCACTGAGCCACACCAGCCGAGCAACACTAGCATTTTTAAGTAGCAGAGAAGGTTGTTTAAGGACCACGGGAGGACAGGCTCGGTCTTCGTCACAGGGGCAGCACAGCCATAGCCACCATGTCAGGAACCTCGTCTTTACAGGGAAGAGCGCGGAATGACAGAACCGACTTGCAGAGCCTGCGGCTCGTGAGAAAGCCTGTCCTGCGATGTTTGTCCAGCAGGGACAGGCCTCCACACAGAGCCCTAGCCACGCCAGGGGCCCTTGTCTCGCCTGCCGCCTCCAAGCTGCCGCCTGGGACATGACGCAGTGTCAGGGCCGAGCAGCGGATGCTAACTGTCTTCGTGTTCCCTCTCTCCTACCACAGAATCGGAAGACTCTTTGATGGGACAGAGCCCATTGTGTTGGACAGTCTCAAACAGCACTATTTCATTGACAGAGATGGACAGATGTTCAGATATATCTTGAATTTTCTACGAACATCAAAACTCCTCCTTCCTGATGATTTCAAGGTGAGGGATTCGTGTTCATTGCCAGTGGCACACATGCGTGGTTTCTTTTCGTGTACTGTCCCTCCCCAGGTCTCACTCATGCTACGTGTTTACATATAGACCAGCTCGAATGGCACCGGAGCCTCTGACCTCATCATACGTTCCTCGTTAAACAGAGCACGTGGCCTTGGGGTGTTAGGATTTACGTGACCAAGAGGGGGCCACTCTTTACACAGAGAGCTCCATTCCAACTCACTGAACCCGTTGGCAATACGTCGGCTAAGCCCGTACCTTATTGCTGACGTCGTAATGAGGCAGAAGAACAGAGAGCTCCTTGGCGTAATAAAGACTTTGTCTCCCAGAAACTTGAAGGAGACACTGCACTTGGCAGCAGAATTTCAGAATCGCCCGCTGTAAGGTTAGGACCCAGTGTTACAGCAAGTCCCACGTGATGCTGGCAGCCACAGGCAGTGGGACGAGATCAGCAGAGCAGACAGGAAGTGTTCCCTGGAAGGGAATAGACAGCAGTGTCATCAGAGGCAGCGTTCATGTTTCTCTAAATGGAAGGTTCTAGGGACTCAACTAAGTACAGCAGGTCCTCGGGTGACCTGGGAGATCCGTTCCGACGGCGACGTAACACGATTTTCGCCGTAAGTCGGAACCCACCTGCATAAGCACCTACGTCACCCGCGTGGAGCACATACACAGCGGTAATGGAGTGAAACAGGAAAACAATTTAAAAGAAAGATAACAATTCCTGACCTTTACTTGTGGTAAATAGATAATAAAAAACATACAGCACATATGTACATACGTCGAAATGACGGAACTTTTTTTTATATATATAAATAAATGGGAGATGGCGATGTAACCACGAAACGACGTACGTCGAGTCCGACGTAACCCGAGGACCGTCTGTACTTGTGTGGGGGGCGAGAAGGGACAAACCAAAGAACGTATCTACTTACAGGCATAGCCCATGAGCAGGGACAATAGGGTAGTGAAGACCTGGGGTTGGGGTAGGGGCTGAGAGGAGGGGGGAGGGGGGGGAAATGGGAGATATCTGTAATACTATCAACAATAAAAAATATATTTTTTAAAAAGAATCAAGTAAATATAACTAGAACTAATAAAGAACTCATTAAGCCATCTAAAATCAGGATCAATATATTGCAATCAATAGCTTTCCTATAGCATAGCAAGAACCAACCGTAAGATAGAATGGAAAAACATACCCCTCACATTCACAACCAAACTGTAACACCCAGGAGTAAACCCAACAAGACACGCAAAGCCTGACTGAGAGAAGGGCAAACCTCTACCCACAGGTGCAGAGGAAGAGCTGGGTGAGCGAAGGGGCAGCCGCGCCCCTGGGTGGGGAGCCTCGATGCTGGGAGGGTGTCGAAGCCCCCACATTCCTCTGCATGCTCAACGCAGCCCCGTTTAGTCACAGATGTTTTTAAAAAGAAGTTGGATCCATTTATAAAGTTTTGTGTAAAAGACAAAAAATGCTTAAGAATAGCTAAATAAGGGGGTAAGAGAGCAACCAAAGGACTTGGATGCATGCAGATGAGTGAACCAGTGGACACAGGGGCGAGGGCGAGGCGAGGGCATGTGCTGGGGGGCAGGCGTGGCCGGGGAGAGGTCAGTGGGGGAAAGGAGACATATGTAATACTTTCAACAATAAAGAATTAAAGAAAAAAGAGAAAAGCTAAATGGCCCTGGCAAAGAATTAAAGAAAAAAAAGAATAGCTGAATGGCCCTGGCCAGGTGGCTCCGTTAGTTGGAGCATCGTCCTGCACATCAAAAGGTTGTGGTTCCATCCCCAGTTGGGGTGCATTCAGGAGGCAACCGATGGGTATTTTTTCTCTCACATCAATGTTTCCTCTCTCTCTCTCTCTCCCTCCCTCCCTCCCCCTCCTCCCTTTCCCTCTAAAAATCAGTAAAAACATATCGTTGGGTAAAGACTACAAAGGAAAAAAAGAATAGCTAAAGGAATTCCTGTGAGTGCTAACAGTGGCGGTAGTCATGGGCAGTGGGGGTGCATTCTCCCAGACTCCGACATACCAGAGA